TCTAAAATGGCATCATGAGCAATTTAAGATAGAAAAGAGAAAAATCAGGCATATTTTACATAGATAGAGCCCTTTGTAAGGTTTGGGATGTACTCAGGAGAACCAAGAATCCCTTGAACGGGTCTACAGGAATGTTTTCCAGTCAATCAAGAGCCATGATCGTCAACATCCAGAAGAGACGCGAAACAAAGAAGAAGAAGAAGAAGAAGAAAGGAGAAGAACAATGAAGAAGAAGAAGAAAGAAGAATAAGAAGAAAGGAGAAGAAGAAGAAAGAAGAATAAGAAGAAGAAAGAAGAAGAAGAAGAAGAAGAAGAAGAAAGAAAGAAGAAGAAAAAAGAAGAAGAGAAGAAGAAGAAGAAAGAATAAGAAGAAGAAAGAAAAAAGAAAGAAGAAGAAAAGGAGAAAAGAAGAAAGAGAAAAGGAGAATAAATAAGAAGAATAAAAAGAAGAAGAAAATAAGAAGAATAAGAAGAAAGAAAAAGAAGAAGAATCAGAAGAAAGAAGAAAATAAGAAAAGAAGAAAGAGAAAGGAGAAGAGAAAGAATAAGAAGAAAAAGAAAGAAAAAAAGAAGAAAAAAAGAAGAAGAAAGAGAATATTAATAAGAAGAAAGAAAAAGAAGAAGAAAAGAAGAAAAAGAGAAGAATAAGAACAAAGGAGAAGAAGAAGAAAAAGAAGAAGAAAGAAGAAGAAGAAGAAGAAAAAGAAGAAGAAAAGAAGAAAAAGGAGAAAAAAGAAGAATAAAGAAGAAGAAGAAGAAAGAATAAGAAAAGAAAGAAAATAAGAAGAAGAATAAGAAGAAGAAAAGAAGAATAAAGAAGAAGAATAAAAAAGAAGAAGAAGAAGAAAGGAGAAGAAGAAAAGGAGAAGAAGAAGAAGAAGAAGAAGAAGAAAAGAAAAGAAGAAAGAAGAGAAGAAGAAGAAGAAAGAAGAAAGAAATAAGAAGAAGAAGAAGAAGAAAGAAGAAGAAGAAAGGTGAAGAAGAATAGAGAAGAAGAAAAGAAGAAGAAAGAAAGAAGAAGAAGAAGAATGAAGAAGAAAGAAGAATGAAGAAGAATGAGGAAGAAAGAGAAGAAGAAGAAAAAGGAGAAAAGAAGAAAGAAGAAGAAAGGAAGAAGAAGAAGAAAGGAGAAGAATAAGAAGAACAAAGAAGAAAAGAAAGAAAAGAAGAAGAAAAGAAGGAAGAAGAAATAAAAGAAGAAAGGAGAAGAAGAAGAAAGGCCAAGAAGAATGAAAGAAGAAAGAAGAAGAATAAAGAAGAAGAAGAAGAAGAAGAAGAAGAAGAAGAAGAAAGGAGAAGAAAAAAAAGAAGAAAAGAAGAAAGAAGAATGAATGAAGAATTATGAAGAAGAAAGAGAATAAAAGAACAAAGGAAAAGAAGAAGAAAGGTGAAGAAGAAGAAGAAAAAAGAAGAATAAAGAAGAAGAAGAAAAGAAAGAAAGAAGAAGAAGAAGAAGAAGAAAGAAAGAAGAAGAAGAAGAAGAATGAAAGAAGAAAAGTGAATAAGAATCAGAAGAAGAAAGGAAGAAGAAGAAAGAAAAGAAGAAGAAGAAAAGGAAAGAAGAAGAAGAAATGAAGAAGAAGAAAAAGAAAGAAGAATAAAGAAAAGGTGAAGGAAATAAAGAAGAAAGAAGAAAAAGGAGAAGAAGAAGAAGAGAAGAAGAAGAAAAATGAAGAAGAAGAAGAATGAAAAGAAGAGAAGAATGAAGAAGAAAAAAGAAGAAAAAAGAAAAGAAAGTAAAGAAGAATAAAAAGAAGAAATGAAGAATGAAGAAGAAGAAGAAGAAAGGAAAGAAGAAAAGAAAGAAGAAGAAGAAAGAAGAAAGAAAGAAGAAGAAGAAGAAGAAAAAGAAAAAGAAAAAAAAAGAAAAAAAAAGAAGAATGAAGAAAGGTGAAGAAAAGAAAAAAGAAGAATAAGAAGAAGAAGAAAGAAGAAAAGAAGAATGAAAAGAAAGGGAAGAAGAATAAAAGAATGAAGAAGAAGAAAAGAATAAGAAGAAAAAGCAGAAGAAGAAGAAAAAGAAGAAGAAGAAAAAAGAAGAAGAAAGAAGAAGAAGAAGAAGAAGAAAAAGAAAGAAGAAAAGAAGAATGAGAATTTTAAGAAAGAAGAATGAAGAAGAATAAAGAAGAAAGAAGAAGAATAAAGAAGAAGAAGAAAGAGAGAAGAATAAAGAAGAAAAGAAAGAAGGAAGAAAAGAAGAAGAATGATGAAGAAGAAAGAATAAGAATGAACAAAGGAAGAAGAAGAAAGAAGAAGAATAAAAAAGAAAGAAAATCTGGAAAATGAAGAAAAGAAGAAAGGAAGAAGAAGAAAAGGAAGAATGAAGAAGAAAGAAAGAAGAAGAAGAAGAAGAATGAAAAGAAGAAAAGAATAATCTGGAACAAAGAGAAGAAGAAGAAAGGAAAGAATAAAGAAGAAAGAAGAAGAAAAAGAAGAAGGAGAAGAAAGAAGAAAGAAAAAGGAGAAGAAGAAGAAGAAGAAAGGAAGAAAGAAGAAGAAGAAGAAGAAAGTGAAGAAGAAAGAAATAAGAAAGGAAAAAGAAAGAAGAAGAAAGGTGAAGAAGAATAAAGAAGAAAAAAGAAGAAGAAAGAAGAAGAAGAAGAAGAAGAAAGAAGAAGAAGATGAAGAAGAAGAAAAGAAGAAGAAAAAGAAGAATGAAGAAAAAGGTCAGAAGAAGAAGAAAGAAAAGAAAAGAAAAAGAAGAAGAAGAAGAAGAAGAAGAATAAAGAAGAAAGAAGAAAAATAAAGAAGAAGAAGAAGAAAGAAAGATGAAGAAGAAGAATCTGAAGAATGGAAGAAGGAAGAAGAAGAAGAAAAAGGAGAAAAGAAAAAGAAGAAGAAGAAGAAGAATAAAGCCTTGCAAGAAGAAAGGTCTTGAAAGAAATTAGAAGAAGAAAGGAAGAAGAATAAAAAGAAGAAGAAAGAAGAAAAGAAGAAGAAGAATGAAAGAAGAAAAAATAAGAAGAACAAAGCCTTGAAGAAAAAGGTGAAGAAGAAGAAGAAGAAGAAGAAAGAAGAAGAAGAAGAAAAGAAGAAGAAATGAAGAAGAAGAAAAGAATAAGAAGAAGAAAGGAGAAGAAGAATCTGAATGAAGAAGAATGAAGAGGAAAGAAGAAGAAGAAAGAAGGAGAAGAAGGAAGAAGAAGAAAGAAGAAAGAAGAAGGTGAAGAAGAATAAAGAAGAAAGAGAAGAAGAAAAAAAAAGAAGAAGAATGAAAAGAATAAAGAAAAGAAGAAAAAGAAGAAGAAGAAGAAAGAAAGAAGAAAGAAGAAGAAGAAAGAAGAAGAAGAAATGAAGAAGAAGAAGAATGAAAGAAGAAAAGAAGAAAAGAAGAAAGGTGAAGAAGAATAAAGAAGAAAGGTGAAGAAGAAAAGAAGAAGAAGAAGAAAGAAGAAAGAAGAAGAAAGAATGAAGAAGAATAAAGAAGAAGAAGAAGAATGATGAAGAAGAAAATGAATAAGAAAAAGGAAGAAGAAGAAGAAGAAGAAAGGTGAAGAAGAATAAAGAATGAAGAAGAAAAGAAAGAATGAAGAAGAAGAAGAAGAAGAAAGAATAGAAGAAGAAGAAGAATAAGAAGAAGAAAGAAGAAAGGTGAAGAAGAAGAACAAAGAAGAAGAAGAATAAAGAAGAAGAAGAAGAAGAAGAAGAATGAAGAAAAGAAGAAAGAAAGAAGAAGAATAAAGAAAGGTGAAGAGGAATAAAGAAGAAAGAAGAAGAATAAAGAAGAAGAAGAAAGGAAAAGAAGAAGAAGAATAAAGAAAGAAGAAAGAAGAAGAAGAAGAAGAATGAAAGAAAGAGAATGAAGAACAAAGACAAGAAGAAGAAAGGTGAAGAAGAATGAAGAAGAAAGGGGAAGAAGAAGAAAAAGGAGAAGAAGAAGAAAGGAAAGAAAAGAAGAATAAAGAAAGAAAGAAGAAGAAAAGAAAAGAAGAAGAAGAATCAAAAGAAGAAGAATAAAGAAGAAAAAAGAAAGAAGAAGAAGAAAGGAGAAAAAGAAGAAGAAGAAGAAGAAGAAAGAGAAGAAAAGAAGAAGAAAATAAGAAGAAAGAAAGAAGAAGAAGAAGAAGAAAAAGAAAGAAAGAAGAATGAAGAAGAATAAAGAAGAAAGGTGAAGAAGAACAGTTCAAGAAGAAGAAGAAGAAGAAGAAGAAGAAGAAGAAGAAAGAATGAAGAAACAGAAGAATGTAAAGAAGGAAGAAATAAGAAGAAAAATAAGAAGAAGGAAGAAAAGGTGAAGAAGAAAGAAAGAAGAAGAAGAAGAAGAAGAAGAAGGAAGAAAAGAATAAGAAGAACAAAAAGAAGAATAAAGGTGAAGAAGAAAAAGAAGAAGAAAGAAGAAAAAGAGGAAGAAGAAGAAGAAAGGAGAAGAAGAATAAAGAAGAAGAAGAAGAAAGAAGAAGAAGAAGAATGATGAAGAAGAAAGAGAATAAGAAGAACAAAGGAGAAGAAGAAGAATGAAGAAGAATGAAGAATAAAGAAAAGAAGAAAAGAAGAAAGAAGAAGAAGAAAGAATGAAGAAGAAGAATGAAAAGAAAGAAGAAAAGAAGAAGAAGAAGAACATGAAGAAGAAAGAGAATAAGAAGAACAAAGGAGAAGAAGAAGAAAGGTGAAGAGGAATAAAGAAGAAGAAGAAGAAGAAGAAAGGAGAAGAAGAAGAAGAAAAGAAGAAGAAGAAGAAGAAGAAAAGAAAAATGAAGAAGAAGAAGAAGAATGATGAAGAAGAAAGAGAATAAGAAGAACAAAGGAGAAGAAGAAGAAAGGTGAAGAAGAATAAAGAAGAAAGGTGAAGAAGAATAAAGAAGAAGAAAGGAGAAGAAGAAGAAGAGAAGAAGAAGAAGAAGAATGAAGAAGAAAGAAGAATGAAGAAGAAGAAGAAGAATGATGAAGAAGAAAGAGAATAAGAAGAACAAAGGAGAAGAAGAAGAAAGGTGAAGAAGAATAAAGAAGAAGAAGAAGAAGAAGAAAGAAGAAGAAGAAGAAGAAAGCACAATGGCACCCATAACGGCGGTCTGGTTATAAATCTTGTCTCGCAGATCAATTCGGTGGTGCTATGAATTTATTCTTTAGAGATGCCCCAGTAATCTAGCATTGGGATAAAACGGACTAAACAGGGTTAAAGACATTAGTTGCCTATGAGCAGTGTTTATCGAGCTAGTAGACAAATAGAGCCATTAAAATACGCGGATATCAAGTCACGAGATTTGAATTAAGTATTGTCGAAAGAGAGTATAGACAACTAAATGAATAACCCAAACAAACCCAATGAAATTATCAGATAGAACATTCAAAGTCAGTGTGAGGTGAATGCGACAAGATAATAACTTCGAGAGCGTAATCAACCGGACCCGTGTAAAATAAAGAAAATCAACTTATTTTTTTCTATTTTATTTCTCTCCCTCGGGCTATCACGAAATAATTTTAGCTCCTGACCAATTCATCAAATATCTATCATTCATATATGAAATATATCCGCAAATATCTATCTATCTGTATATATATATATATATATATATATATATATATATATATATATATATATATATATATAAAAGAAATATAGTCTTAAGGTATGCTATATTTATGGAATAAAGTGCTCAATATCAGAGATAGAGCGTGTAAATATATAAAAGTGAACATAGAAGTCAACACTTAGAGGCGACAGTCTGCTTCATGCTATATGCAATCGTCAGGCCACATATGCTGTTATTTTTCACGGCTATTTATATATACAGGTTAGTGGTGCATTGTGGGTATTCTATTATGGCGGTTATTTTACCGGAAGTCGTTTGTTTATTTATTTGGTTCAAATTATATTGCTTGTTTTTATTTTTTTGTTTCTCATTTTATTTATTTATTTATTTATTAACGTAGTAAAAATTTGTTTATATCACTTATTTAACAGTTTTGTTTTGGTTTGAGAGTTTAATTAAAGCTATTTGTTCAATTTTGGGGTTGGTTGTTGTAGTTCATTCTAACTATTATTTTGGCGGGAACAGGTATATATAAATAGCCGAGAAAAATAACAGCATATGTGGCCTGACGATTGCATATAGCATGAAACAGACTGTCGCCTCTAAGTGTTGACTTCTATGTTCACTTTTATATATATATATATATATATATATATATATATATATATATATATATATATATATTCACAGACAACCTGTTTCGCTGCGTCAGAGCTCATCAGTGTTGCTAGACATCCGAGTGCTTCAAGCCGGGAAGTAACTCGACGGATCTGGCATCAGTCAGAGATTCTATCCCTTGCTACTGGTGCACAGAAGAGGAAGGAATCTTTTTAACGTATTATATACGTGATGTATATAAACGCTAGACCAGCAGCCAGAGCGTTCAGTTCTGGCGAAGAGCAATGCGTTAAGCAGGGAGCAGCAGCTGTCAAAAATTCCTTTCTATAGTGCTCAATCGGCGAACGAGTGAAAGTGATATATATATATATATATATATATATATATATATATATATATATATATATATATATAAGTACAGGTAATCGATCCGTTGGTATATAATCAGGGTGGATCCTAGTAATATTAATTACTAAAACTGATCCACAGAAAGCTCGATGTTTTTATTTTAACAGAGCACATTTATTTTTACCCCCCCACCCAAATAAAAGAAAATTTCAAGCCTTTTTGTACACGGCTATCATCAGCCCCTAAGTTCTTCTCTCGGAGCATTGTTTTACATTTATTTTCAATGTCGACAAAATACTAGGTTTCGCGAACACCCCCTATAGTTTTAGGGGTAGGTACGTTTCGAAGAAAAATCAGTATAATAAAATATAAAAATCAATGCAAACTATTAAATCAGTGGAGCGAGGTAATCACGAAATGTCAGCATAGAAATAAATTCCAAATTACAGAAAAATACATCTGTATATATGTGGGGTGTATGTGTATTTATAGTGGCATATATGTATGGACATGTAAATGTACATATATGTATGTATGAAGATATGTACGCATATAAGTGAAAACATGATTTATTTCATTCGATGCTCTGGTATTACCCACAATCTATAAATAACTCAACTAATTTACATTTATCTCAATGAACTTAAGTTTCAATATATATATATATATATATATATATATATATAATAAAAAGGCTTAAACACTAATATTCCATGGTCATAATTTATTCCACTGGAATCGTAAATACGATCCAATTCATCAGACCTACAAATTCAAAAAGAAAACAGAAAAAACAACTCCGGGAATAAAAAATAAAATTTAGTGGGAGTGTTTGTATGAGAGTGTGGGACAAATGTTAGAGTAAATGAAAGCTATAGAGAGGGGTATCCTTATCCTGTCCTGGACATTGAGTTCTACGTGGATTCTATCCTCTTGGAATTATTTTTTATACATATATATATGTATTCGTATCTATGTATGTATATATATTTATATATTTTAGATATATGATTGCATATATATATGTATATTAACCTCTAATATTATCTATCTATCTATCTATCTATCTATCTATCTCTCTCTCTCTCTCTATATATATATATATATATATATATATATATATATATATATGGGCGGTCTAATCAAAAAGTATCGAGACTGGTGTATATAAAAAGAAAACTACAACATCCATCAATTCGGCATTTCATCTCCTTCGAAGTAGTCCTCTTCTGAAGTCGCACACTTTATAGAGAGTCGTTTCAATTGAGAGAAGCTTTCTGGAAATGCTTTTTTGTGGGTAGCGAGCAGCTGCCTCGTCGCATTCTCTCAGATTTCCTCGACGTCTTTTATTCTTCGCCCTTGTAACGTGTGAGATCTGGGGAATATGGTAGTTGTCTGATCTGAGGAATGTTTAGCTTCGCTAAAACACCGCTGTGCAAGCCACGGTCACTGATGGAACCTCTGTAGTAGGATGAGACGACCACACTCTACACACTTTCCTTCCAAACACTGCTATGAAGAACCAACGTATGAAGAACCAACGTAAGTTAGAACGTGATAAGATCAGTCTATCAAGAGACTTCACGCTTCGTACTATAGTTCCATCGTAACAATTTCGATACGTCTTGATAAGATATCATATATATTCGCTGAGTTAACCATCTGATAACACTTTGGCGGACGAAACCGCGGTAGAGTTCCATTCAGCGTTTTGTTATTTTGGGATATTAAATCGCTATACAGGTTTGATATTTCTCACTTGATACTGATAACTTTTTAATACATACAATTTTAAACAACTATTTTAGTGTTATTTACTTCGTTACAGATTGTTGATCACGCTAGATATCACGCTCTCTCCCAGAAACTGTAACTAAAGTCTGCTCAGCATAGTTGCAGTATAAACCACAGGTTGGCTCTGTGGGTGTTGAATTAACACAAATGTGCCTGAACGAGGGTATGAAATAAGGATTTGTTAGCCGCCCTTATAGATGGGTATCCTCGAATACGAGTGGCTATATATATATATATATTCTGCTTATACAGTATTTTTATAGAAACAATTTATTTAAGTAAATGCTCTGTTTTTAAATAAACAGTATTAATTACATTTATCGGACTGAATGTTCGAGACATTTCGTAGAAAATGTGCGCTCACCGGTAGGAATCAAACCTCTATTTCTATACGGAAACCTTTATTTGACCTGACGTCGATTTTTCTTTTTTATGCACTTATCATTAGGGTAAGTTCTTTTCCCGCATTGTTTGTGTTCGTGTGTGCGTTTGCGTGCTTACGGCCATGCACCCGTCTGCGCGGATGTGGATACGAGTAGGGTGTCGTGATCATTTGTCATTTTCTTCGTTTTTTGTTTTTTTTAAATTTACGCTCGATCTTTTGTTTTTCTCATTTTTTTTTTCTCTTTTTTCCTGTTTTCTTTCGATAGTTGCCGTTTGTGGTAAATTATTATATTCTTTACCACTGGTTTTAATTTTTGAGTGCTCTAATTATATATATAAAAGAAAAAAGAAAAACATTCTTAATTTAGTTGTGTAAATGGATGGTCGATGAGGGATGCAGAAAGCACATACCGTACTAAGAGGTACAAATGACAGGAAGCATACAATTTTAAACAACTATTTTAGTGTTATTTACTTCGTTACATACACACACAAACACACACATATAGATTGAATGATTTGTTTTTTATGACTTATCAACCTTCTATAGGTTATTTAAAGCCAGAGAATATTTTTAGATTGTAAGGATAGCAATTTACTGACCAAGTTCTTCTAATTAACTCATAGCCGGGGTGGGGGAATAGTGAATTTAAAGGTATTTGCGCGCAATTGAATAAAACGAACCCAACCGGAATTGGAAATCGTCACCTCAATTTCATATGCCCTTCTGCATAGCCTCGTCTGGGTTCCTCTCTGCCCGAAGGCTGAGAGGTCGACTAGCAGAGCTTTAACAAACTTATTTCCCTAAGAATGAGAGTACTGTTTAAATAATCTTAGACCAGTCCATTTTGTGGGGGTGTTCAGCTACTCCACAACAGTTTACATATAGACGTAAGTGCAGATCCGAACAACATTTATCTATACACTCAAATATAAACCCAACGAATGTTTACATATAGACTTAAGTACAAATTCGAAAAACATATTCTTATAGATTCAAGTATGAACACAAACCAATGTTTTCATATAAATTTAAGTACAAACAACGTTTACTTATAGACTCAAGTATAAACCTGACCAAAGTTTACGCGTAGATTCAAGTAAAATTCTGAACAATGTTTACATATAGAAGGAAGTATACACCTGATTGATGGTTACTAATAGGCTCAAATATGAACGCCGCCAATTTTTGTTCATGCACTCTAGTAGGAATACGACCAACGTTTGTCTATAGACTTAAGTATAATAATAATAATAATAATAATAATAATAATAATAATAATAAATAGATTCCGACATTGAATAGCTTAATGTGGTTTGATATATAGTGAAAACCAAAAAGTCAATCCAATCAGCATCTGCGGTACCAATTACTGCAAGTAAAT